TCACCTTTTCTGCATTGCATTTCATTATTTAAGGTTATTTATTTTTTATTAATCCCTTTCAAATTAATAATTAATTTTTTCAAATGCAGTCGCTGTTAAATGAAATATCAAGTAATTTTCAGCGTTATTGAAATAAATAAAATTGATTAGCATCAGGTTTAACCAACCAGGTTACTTTTTAGTTGTTATGATTAAAAAAAAAAAAATTAATTATACAAAATTTATATTTAATTTTATATATTTAATTGTAATATAATAATTTTGTCCAAATATCAGCTTGAATCAAACTTCTGAAAGGTTAATAAACTAAACAACACTTTAAAATACGTTACTGAGTGTCAATAAATCAACTATTCCTATGGCTAACACTAAGAGGAATTGAATTATATAATTAATTTACTAAAAAATAATAGGCACGTTAAAATAACAGAGAATGTATGGTGTTTGTTTACGTCAACTCCATCCATGTTAACTTTATTTCTGTCATTGTTTTTACAATGTAATTCAATTTATTTTTTTTGAATATACCAAAAAAACAAGAAAATATTTTAATTCTTTCAACAATCAGCGATGTTTTAAGTCTACAATTTTAGCTCCATCTGTTTACCTCTTCAAAAACAAAAAAAGATTGAAATTAGCCTACATCTGTCAACTTAAATTAATAGCACTTATTTTTCATTGTTGCTTTGGAATTTTTCCACCGATACATAATTTGACCTCAGCGCAATATTTTAGATACAAATTCTTTTGTGTTCAAACAAAAAAGTTACTAGTATTAATAATTACCTGATAATCAGAGTCATTACTTGCCATTTATTTGGTAGTCTACTTAAGATTGCCAATGTTTATAACACCAACAAAGGATACAAAAAAAGAATGCTAATAGGTTTGTTCGTAGAAACGATTTCTGATAGTTTTCTGACTATAGAGATGCGATTATTACGAGAGCTCTGCAATAACAAACGTTCTGAATGAACAAGCACATCTCTATAACAATGTGCGCATGCTTCTGACAGTTTCAAACGGTTGGAAACTACTCTACGAACAAACCTAATATTTTACCTTTAATTCCCTTTATTATACAAGGTAAGGTGAAAAGTCCCATGTAATGAAAATATAATGAACAAAAATATACCACAAATTTAATGGCAAATGATGGCAGTCCATCAATAGTGACAAGAGAAGAAGAAAATGATTAAGGTCATGTATTATGAAGAAATTTTTTCCAATCTGTGTATGATCATTTTGAAAATATTTACCAGTTATATACAGGATTCGACAGCTACAAAGGATCATGCGTTTTTCTTGTAAACTACTCTAGGTAAAAAAAAAAACATCAAGAGTAAACCTTCTTTAGTTACTTCCCCTTCCCTCAAAGTGAGGAAGTTATGTATTCATGAAAAAAAATTTTGAAAATTTGTATTGCATTTCTGGATGAATCTCGATGAATTATGACGATACACAAAATTTCAGACAGAAAAAATGTTCTGTCTGTGTGTCTGTCTGTCTGGTTCGTGATAGCAGCTACATTTTTTGAGATAAAGCTTTCAAATTTGGTACACACATTCTAGAGGTCAAGGCAGAGATTAAGTTCGTTGATAAGCAAAATCGGTCCCAATTTTTAAAACGTCATAAAATTTTACTTTTTTTGAAACGTCAAAATGACTTTTTTGAAACGTCAAAATATGACTTTTTTAAACGTCAAAAATGTTACTTTTTTTGAAACGTCAAAGTGACTTTCTTGAAACGTCAAAATGTGACTTTTTTGAAACGTCAAAAAATATGACTTTTGATTCGTCAAAAATTACTTTTATTATAAACCACCACACGTCGAGTTTTACTACGGTGAGTAAGTTCTGATCCCCAAGTAATTAGCAGCGGTTTTTTTATGTAGAGTTCGAAAATGTAGTTAAATTTGTTCGCAGGGAACACACAAATGCAAGGTACACTACGACTTTGTCTTATAAACGGAATGCTTTTTTTTGCTGATTTTGATTTCTTATTGTTCAAAGTTCATTTTATTCTAGATAATTTTGTTCTTCGACCAATCGTTTTTGAGATATTAATCTTTTGTGAACCATCGAGGATAGAAAGTAGCACTTCACCTATTACCATTCTCTCATAATACATATCGAAAAATATATTAAAAATTGCTGTTATTACTAGTGGTTCTTGTACAGAGCTATCATAAATGATTGTAAGCCACATGATCAACTGGTACCTTTTAACTTGATTTTGTGTCTTTGCGGCAGTACTCGATGAGGATCTTTGCACATACGTATTTGTCTAAGAAATCGTTTTCAACTATCTTTTGCTGACAGGACGACTCGACGATACTATTAAAGGAACCTAATTGGTTACGTGGGTTACGATCATTTATGAAGGCTCTGTACAGGGTGGTCAAATTTTGATGTTTCTATAGGGCTTGTTGAAGGATCCACAATTAATGAGATTTTCTTTTAACCTCTTAAAAATAGATTTTTTAGGTTGTCTTCTTTCTGGATAGCGATTGAAATATATTTCGGATGCAATATCACAGTTGTTATTACTTTGATTAAAGCATTCTAGCATATCGTAATTTTCGTAAGACATCTTCACTTTTACGATTAAATGGGAAGTAATTGTGACGGAAACAAAAATATTAATACGCAATTTATCGACAAATGGATAAACACTGTAAAAGATGACACACGCCTACTTTGAATAAATATAAAAAAACGCAAAAAGTAATCTACTGAAAGATTATTTTCGCTATTAAATACTTATACATCAAAAGCGTCTCCACATATGATATATAGTTTGAAAGGGAAAAAATAATCCTTTGTAACTAAGCCATAGCGAACTATGATTCCCATTTAAAAAATACAATTTTATTCCATAACGCGAAATTGCACCTTTTTTTTATTTTTCTCGACGCCACGGTATTATACAGAAAAAAGTGCCTCAAGAATGTAAAAGTTATTTTTTTATAACTTTTCAAACAACCAAGATATTGACATGTATCTAAAAATTTAAAAATCGAACTCTTGTTTATAACTCGAAAACAAAAGACGATTACACATTTTTGTTACTGCCAGTGAATTGGTCTCAAAAAAAGAGATAGAGAATATGTCTTCCATTTTTTTGTATCTCTTACAGTTACCGAGTTACCCTATACAAACATCGAAATTTGCCCTCCCTGTACAATAGCCACCTAGATCTCCTGACCTCAATCTGTATATCAGACTTATTGTTCATTTCTTCTTCTTCTTCTAGGAAGAAACCCCATTTTACCAAGCAGCATTTGAAAAGAACGTTTTAAGTTTGTTTCCCGATTATCCTAAATTTCTAATGTATTATTAATGCATCAGTATATTTCAACTTACTATTATTTCTATATTTGTATATATGACCAGAGGTAGGATTTACAAATAGAATATGACGTAAAACCAGGGTTGGCTTTAGGTGGTTATATATCAGATTTGCATGCATATAAGAAACGATATCATACCTTGAAATTTTTTTTAACGAATTCCGTATTATCCAAAATTGATAAAGTCAATTTATTATAAACACTCACTCGAAGAGAACTGTAGATATAGGGGGATGTACTTAACTGTAAACTACACACATAAGTATTTTTCACTGTCGGTTACAAGAATAAAAGTATTTGATGAAATAACCGTACACGACTTGGTGCTTTAACTAAAACGTTCTTTACACTAAATATCAAATTATCAACATTAGGGTAGCACCCTCTAACAGGTTCAGTAATCCTATGAGGCCCATGTGCTAAACATGTTACATGAAATATATTCTGATATGTTTCCTTCAAAATTCTTCCAGCAGCTTTCATATAATTCATTACATCGGTGAGAAATAATAAAAACTTGTCTTTATTTTTTGCATATTTGTCACCCCAAAACACTTGTAGACTTGAATTCACTACCTCCGCTATAGTGCGAGAATTTGTAGCTTCTAAAACTTTAGAGGCGATCAAATGTCCACTCATCGAACAATATTCCTCCAATGCACCCACTAAAACAGTCGCTACCTTAAACTCGCTAGCCATGGTGGGTTTGTCCACGCTAAGCCAGATTTAATTCCCATTAAGCTCAGAAGAAATTTTCTGGCTAATATTTTCACACTTCGTTGATAAACATTTTTTGTTTTTAGTGTAGATCCTAAAGGCACGTTAACATTGCTATATTTGCCACTAATACATTTCTCCAAAAATTGACTAAAAACTGGATTGTCTAGTTTCGACTACGATTTTACATCCTATCATAAATTCGACTAAAGCTAAGTTAAAATTACGTTGCATATAACTGTAAGTAAAGCCACCTACGCTCCATTTATGGTTTTCCGAGGAAATAAGTCTATTAATATTTGTGTTGCATGACCACGAATTTGCTTTGTTACATGTAGTGGAATACAATTAATTGTCTACCATCAAATTATAAATCGGCAATATCACGAAACCAAGAATTTACTGTAGCTTCCATTGGTTTAGTACGTTGTGACATTTTAACAGCGCATTTTTAGTACCAAATGTATCTACGTTATGCAAGATACTGTTTGATCGTGTTATATGTTTTTCCCCTCACGCTAGGGCCAGCCGTAGGCCTTCAATAAATTACCAATATACTGTAATTTAAAAGAATCTATTACGCATTACGTTTTAATTTAATATAGTGCATTTCCTGACAAAACTAAGTTACCATGAACATTGTAAAATTAAATAAAATGCACTTAATAAATTTTTGTAGTTTGGGAGTGTTTCAGTAGGTGTTTGCAATATATTATATTTGTAAAAGCCATCCCTGTAACCGATCGGTAAATCCCACGTATGTATATGACATTTTTTAAATTTAAATTAAACACCACAGGTAATACAACCCTCTGTATCTCTCAAGGTACCTCAAGGTACCTTGTGGAGGAGAGACTATACATTTAGAGACAATGGACACACACCCCATGTCCGAGTATGCTAGGATTCATTTCTGGTTTAGAAGAAATCCTAACTCCTCAATCGGGGATTGAACCCTTGACTCCAGGGTGAGAGGCAAGTGTCCTTACCACTCGACCACGAAGCCACACTGTTTCTCTTTATGACCAATAAATAACTTTCTTCTATCTACCGAGTAAATTGGCTTTTAGAAAAACGCAACCCTCAATTAAAAATCCAATACAATCTATTATTCCCTTTCGTGATTTCGTATGTTAATCAGGACACACTAATAGGAGCGCAATTATGAAAAAATAGCTTTTCACCAATTAGTTCCGATATCTTGCAATTTCAGCGCTAACTGCGGAGTCGTAACTTTATGATTGATGACATCCATGTATGGAGATTTTTGTTGTTAAGGCGAAATCAGAAACTGTATTAAAACCTTTAATAGAACTTATTGTAGGAAATGCAGTCTTCAATAATATTATCAGTACTTTATGGCTTTCACGAAAATAATTAAGTGCAACAATTAAACGAATGTAGCCAGTGGGATATTTGCAAACTTTGCCAAATTTGTTCAGTTCTTGATTACTAAATATTCTGTCATTAAAAAATTAAAGTGTAATTTTCAAAATTAATTATACACGGTATTCTGGGAAAGATCCTTTTATAAAAAAATTTATCCACCCCGTCTTCTCTTAAGGGGATGAATGTACATCCCTTCTGATATTTTTGTCCATTCTGTCACTTTGGTTCTTTTTTCCTGCAGAGGCAAATCCGGTTTCACATAACTAAATTTAAGGAAAGGCAGCAAAATATAAAGCAGATACCTGTAACAACTTTTGTAGTAATTCGCTAGATGTCTATACATCTAAAAATGGCGCCTAATTTAATGTCTTATTTTGTAGGCAATGAAACAAAATTACACATTTAAAATCTTCTGAGCCAAATTACAAAAGACAATCAGATCATTAACAAAAAAAACATATCTATGTATAAGATTTTTTATGTATTGCTGCATCTGTAAAAATATTGTTTATAATTACAATGTTTGACTTGATACATTTTAATAAATGGCTGGCAGCCTCATTAATTCATTACCAGAGGACGGAAATGTTTTCCATTTTTCAGAGTCGTCACTTATAAAACAAAATAAATACAAATATTAATAAACACACCACATAAAAATTATTGTGGTTAGTTTATTTATATATCTGTAATATATGCAACTAATACAAGAAAGGTGGAAAGACTCTGCGGGTATTCGGAAATTTCCCATGTACAACTTGATCTTTAATATAATCCTATAAATAAAAATCCAATGTAGTTAGGTCAGGTGACCTAGCTGGCCAACTGATAGGACCTCTCTTACAGATACATCTGTCAGGAAACACACTGTTGAGATATTGTCTAACTCGAACACTGTAGTGGACAGGGACATCTTTTCTATCCAAAACCTTCTTATTACTTCTAAAGGTAATAATTCACCTACAAGATTCTCTAAATCCTTTTGTAAAAAATTGAGATAATTGTCTCCATTCAGTTTGCCATCAAAGAAATGAGGTCCGACAATACGGTCTCCAATAATACCTCCCCAAATATTGAGTGACCATCTGTGCTGGTAATCTACAGTTCTTACAAAATTAGGATTTTCCGTAGCAAAATAATGTAAATTATGTCTGTTGACATTTCCATTTATGTGAAAAATTGCCTCATCAGAAATAATCACATAGTCAAAAAAATTGTATGTTCTGCATCCTATTTGCCGACCATACACAGAAATTTAACCTAATTAAAAAATTTCACTCATCCAACTTTTGAAGCAGTTGTACAAGATATCCATGAAATTTGTTTCGACGAATACTTCTCGTTACCGAAGATTGTGATATATCAGTTTTCCGGCTAATATTTCTGGAACTATTATGAGGATCTTCTACCAAACTTAATAAAACCAAGTGTTCGTTATCTTCATTTGTAGTCCGATTTATACGATTGACTTTTTTATAAGAAATGTTACCTGTTTCTTCAAATCTGGTTTTTAAATTTCTGAAAGATGCTTCTTGTGGATGGGTTCTGTCAAGACACTTTCGAGCGTAAATTCTGTAGGTGAAAAACGAATTCCTGTCACTTTCACCAAAGGTATAATGTCAATTAATTCCTGCTTCGAAATATTCATTTTTTACTGAAAACTAGGAGGAGGTTTGCAACAAAATTGAAATAAACTAATATCAAATGACGTTAAATGTCTTTTTTTTTATAAAATCATCTCAAAGGTACTTTTCAGAATAAAACACATATTTACACATAAACAACCATATATTGAAAATTATTCATTTTAGGTATAGGACATATTATATCAAAGTTGCAAGTAAATAAAAATTACACATTTTTTTATAAAAATATATAGGTTGTTCCAATTGAATACGTTGATTTTGGCAGTTTTAATATTTATAAGTTAGCGGTACTTTTGTGAACATCTTGTATAAAATACATCTTATCTACTAATAGTTAAAGTATGGCACCAAAAAAATGATTGATCTTCAAAATAATTCCAAAATCAATTTTCAAAATGATACCTGCCAACGTCAATTTTCAATAAAAATATTTTTTCTCATTAGCCATCCAAAAAACTTTAAAAATATTTTACTGCTGAATAGGCCATCATAATGGTTTTCAAACACAATAAAAAAACTTAGGTCATTCTATTTAAAAAATACATACTTTTTTATCTACCTCTTTTACGGATCGCCCTGTATAATTGATAGTAGTTTTAAAACAGGTCCTTTTTGACTCACCCTGTATAAGACGACTTTTTGTACGAGATTGCATTGTGCTAATTTTGAAAAAAGTGTATAGAAAAAGTTTTTGCTGGAGAATCTAATTACCAAATGTTTGCACTTTTTCCGAAACACCCTGTATAGTATTCAAATAAAACATAGTTAAATTTGTGAGGTTACGAAACATGTATTTTGGCAATTAATAATGAAATTCCTATCTGATAAAATATATTCATTTGACCTCTCTAGTTCTGAACGTACGTACTTATAACAGAAAAAATACAACTGATAAAATAAAAAAAAACAGAACAATAGAGCCAGGTTTAGTGTCCCATCCTATAAAAAAATATGCTTAGTTGGTTAGGCTTTTTTGTCCTTGACATTGAATTATCGAAAACAAAGCGTAGATTTTAGTTACGCTTTTATAATAATAATCTCGACTTTATATCTTTGAACACAGCAAAAAATTAAGTACTAGAAAGGCGAACGCGACACAGCTCACATTGAATCTTTTTACCACAAAAAAAAAATTATATACAGGCAGGTTTTGTCAGCTTTAGTTCTTGTCCCTTTCACCTGACTTATTCGAAAAAAAGCATGCATTAGATGACTAGTTTATACAAAAACTTCTTTTAGTTAAACGAAGTCACGTTATCTAGATAAAACATTTTAAAGTATTATTATTTCTGTGGTTTGTTGTTAAATAAATATGAATTTTTCACCTATTGACCTGACAAAATCGAACATGTAGAATATGAAAAATACGAACGTACAGAACCAGCAACAAATGAGGAAAATGAATATAAAGTTATTGTAACTGTCGTTGAAGATCCTCAAAAACAAGAACTCAAGTCACAGGCGCAGAGGTTTATTTTTCCAGTAACATACTGGTAACTAACTATATTTTTTAGATAACGAAGAATTATTCATGTGGTAGTAAGTTCCAAAAAAGAAAAGGAAAATTTTAGAGAATGCCATAAATAACGTTCAGACAATATTTAAATAAAACTGATATTTGAATCAAATTTGAATTTCTGGGATTGGCTAAGGACGTTTCAGAATTAGAAGAAGTTTTTAGGAAGAATGACGTTTTATTAAGAAACCAAGAACAAAAAATTTTACAAGTATAAGTACATTCGTGAACACACTGTATATGAGACCTCAAATTTACCATAGGTAGGCACATTATTTCTTTATAAGCTTTTAAGTGTTTTATGAATTTTACTCTCTTTCCGATTTGAGGAATAAGTTCTATAATCTGTTCTTCTGAAATTTCCAGTAAATTGTACAACGTTAGTTAATTTTCTTGACCTAGAAAATAATTATTTATGTTATTAAAGTATAAATAATTTAATGAAATCATTGTAGCTAACTATATAATGGAAAAGTGTGCTCGAACTTTCAAAGAGGTATGGCATAACAAGTTTTGTACATATGAAACCGAAATTTTTTAAGCCCATTTGAATATTCACAAAATTTCCATGCATATATACAAACTGTAAATAGGCAGCCAAAATACATAATAATTAATATCTTAGCTTAGCATTTTTGGTATGAACAAAGAACTTTATCCTAGACTGATAATAAATTGATATCAATAACTTCTGAAAATCAACTGATTTATCTATAATATGCATAATACAAAACCTAACAGTTTTTGAGATATTTTATTATTATTATTTTTTTTTTAGAAACTTCCCTTGCCCTTATGTGTTTCAAAAAACATGTGTCTTCGCTTAAGCGGAGGTTTCTCACTCAAAAATAAGACAAATAGTAGTTACTATCAACATGGGTCCATTGCTGTTTCGTACTTGAAATGCAGAATGTTGAAGTTTTATTATTATTTTGGTTAATTTTTTTAAAGAAATTATATACACCACTGACCTCTTTAGTTTTAGATGGCACAGTTATGTAGACAGATAGTTGCTGAAAAGAAGTCACGTCTTGATTTTTGTTAGATTTAGGTTTCGTGTAGGAGATAAATACAATTTTTTATGTAGGGTACTAAATAGCATTATTTTATTTTTTTTTTAATAGATTTAAAAAGACTTTAAAAATTGCATTTATCTTCTACACGATGCCGATATCTAAAAAACGTCAAGAAGTGACATTTTTTCGGCAATTAAGTTTCTACATAATTGGGCCATCAAAAACTAAAATAATCAGTGGAGTATTTATTTTTTACAGTTAACGCAAAGAAAAATAAAACTTCAGTATCTCAGAAACGATGCAAAAATGGACCTATGTTGATAGGAATTAGGTATATTTGTGTTATTTTTGAGTGTAGAATCTCCGTTTAAGCGATGGCACATGTTTTTTAAAACACTTTGTATCTCTTTAATTTGAAAACAATGGACTCTCTACCTGT